ATACTTTTCAAGTACCAGTGCAGATACTTGGCATTTTCATGAGAACTACCGGGGTTAGAGCGGTTGCAGTTGGGACCTGGCTCTGGTGCTCCACCACTGTCCTGAAATCATTAGTCTGTATTGTTTTAGAAAAACTGTCACATGACAATAAACAAAAATGTATCAGTACTCATACTTGTAAGTACTCGGCAAGTACCAGTACTCGTACTCACAAAACTGGTATCTGTGCACCAGTTTATTTATATGTATAAAAACAAAATCGTACATTAAAACAGAGATGTACAAATCCCAGGAGCTCCATGTGAATTTTTCTCTTGTGTAGTCTTGGAGCTTAAAAGTATCGGTACATGTACTCGTACTTGTACCAAGTACTGTACTTGGTATCTGTGCAACCCTAGTTATAATCTGAGATCAAAGGGAGTTCGTATACTGAACTCCCTTTGATCTCCTGTCACAGAGCCGTGCCGGTCCCGGCCGCATCGGGCACAGCGGATCTCGGGACCGAACACGGCAGTCACGGATGCTGATACAAGTAATCGAGCGTCTATAGAGACGCTCGATCGCTTGACTGTGTTAAGCTCCCGGCCGGCCATGTAATTACAACGGCCGGCCGGGAAGCTGCTCGTCGGGCTCCACTGTCTGCTTGTCACAGACGAGTGTACGAGTGGATTTTTCGAGCCCTGATCATAGATCATTCCACAGTATAACCACTCTGTATTATCCTGGGCATTTAGGCTGTCTCCATATGAAAATGTTGTCCCTTGCACAGTTTTTTGTTTTTGTTAATTCATTCAGTATAAGTGTCAGAATTACCAGTTCTGAAAAATTTGGTATTGTTAGTTTGTGCTAGACCAATACAAACCATTTTTCATAAAGAGTCTACACTGAATGACTATAAATGAATGCTTATTTTTTATCATTTTTTTTTCTATTTCATCTTTTACTTACATTTTAAAACACAGGCACAGAATAATAACTATAATGTTGTATACACACATTTTTTAAGTGGACTTATGGCCAAAAATGACACATGACAAGTGACACTAAACTCAGGAGTTAAATCTTAAAAATGCATTCAAGTACCTTAACTACTAACAAAAATGTCCCTCATGTGTGTATCACTCGGCTGTAAAACCTCAAATCATCTCTGAATTGGTGCTGATACTGTCCTTCCTTCTAAAAGGGTGGCTGCCTTTGTTACCAATGATCCCTGTGTGGGTTGTAAAGTAGGCACCGCTCCAAGCTCACTCCCATGATGGACTACAATCTCAATGCAAATTAGTAAGCTAAACATGAGATTGTTGTCCATCACGGGAGTGAGCTTGGAGCGGTGGCTACCTTGCAACACACACAGGGACCATGGGGAACAAAGGATGCCCCTCTCCAGAAGGAAGGACAGTGTCAGCACCAATTCAGAGATCATTTGAATATCTGCAGCTGAGTGAAACACAAATAAACTACATTAATGTTAATAGTAAGGGTTTTTAATGCATTTTGAATATTTAACTCTTGCATTTAGTGTGGAAAGTGGTGGAAAGTGGTGTAAAAAGGTCTCCATCCTAAAAAAGAGGCACCATCCTAATTATAAAAGCATTGAAAGAGAGAAATGATGTTGATTATGGACATAACATGTTTGGTAAGAGCTGTGTGAAAGGGTTAATCAGAAATGTGTTTGGCAGCACTGCTTAGGCTTGCATTGCGAAACAGAAGCAGTCTGAGTATTTCATATGACTGAAATGAGTTTGAATGTGTGAATTTCCCTGAAGATAGCCTGTCTTGTTGCCAAAGTTGTGGTTAAAGTGACATGTGTTTACAATACTTAGGGCTAAGTGATTCCTGCATGAACATTTTGAACATAAGTGGTCTGGGTATACTGCCAGTTCCAAGTACCCCATCCACAAGGGGTGGATTAGCACCCCTCCCCCCTTCCCAGAAAAGGATTTCTCCTTTCCTCCAATGGTTTAAGGAAGACACCCACTACAGGAGCAGATTTAACCTCAGGAAAAATCAATTTATGGTCTAAGCTTTCTTCATTTCTTCAATCTCATATAGATGCTTGGTATCTTTATGGACATTAGAAATAATTATGGTGGACAAACCTTTATGAGAAATTGTGCAATGGGTGTATATAGGTGATTATACTGATTGATGCCAATTAGGAGTAGAAGAATTTTTGAATACTAAATATGAACCTCTGGGTAATATATATTATGTGGTATGAATGTGGTCTGAGCCGTCATGTTGTGTGTTTAAGATGTCAATGTTGTCATATTTTTAATTGGTGGTGGTATTGTGTCCATTAATACAATTGAATTATACTGTAAATTAACTTGTTACTAAAGCTATTATTTTTGGACTAAACTGTGTTGGCCCAATATGTAGTCACTAGTGACTGCATCATCAGTTTTAGTTCTTTAGTGGGTAAGTTAAGGCTACAAACCATTATCTAGACATGATGAGTCAGCTGTACACTGTCAGAATGCTTGAGTAGAGCCAGCAGCTGATTGGCTGGCTGCTCTGTTTGTTTTGAAGATTTTCCGACTGGCTTGTTCAATCAGATGATCAAGGGATGACGGCCGAAAGGATTCCAACAGCATCACCCACTGTGCGAATTTCAGCCAGTTCCTGAAGAACAGGCTGAAATTCACATAATGTATGGCTAGCTTTAGTCTATGAATTTATGGGGATTCCCATTGTTTTTGTTAGAACTTTTTGGAATAGTTTTAGATGGACATCTAATTTTAGAAGGACCTGATTGGATCTATTTATAAATGTTTCCACACAGCCTTCACAGTATGATTCACAAATGTATCCAATTAAATCCAATCTTAAAAATTGTGAATCTTGGGTAGGCAAGTAATTAACAAAATAATTATGATTATATGCATGTAAAACTTTTTTAAGCAGTTACAACATCAGTTTTTTTCTTGAAAAAAAGGTTTAGAGCATATAAATCAACATTTACTGCTTTAAGCATCCTATATGGTTTAAACCAACCCCTGTAACTGTCACTTCCTGGACAACTTGTTTTGCAATAACGTTTTTATAAAAATGAATCATATACTGAATATGATATTTACAATTATCAAGCACATGCAGTTACCAGAAGATAATGTTTTTCACTACAGTGGCCCTTTAAGTGCATAAAGAAAAGTCAAAATAGTTAATCAAGTTAAATGAACAGGATTCCCTTGCAAATGTAAAATAATGTTAGTATGACAAATATATAACCCCCCATGCCCATGCCAACTCTTGGTCCAGACACATGCATAAACATTCACATATTGGATAGTATCCATCAATGTTTATTTGTGGGTCAGACATTATTTCTAACATTAATATCTGATAAGCAGTGTATCTCTGTATGAATAACATATATATGCACTGATGTTTTAGATATCTAAAGATATCTAAATATGAAGCTCTGGGTAATACCGTGTTTCCACGAAAATAAGACACTGTCTTATTTTTTTTTTGCACAAAATAAGACACTAGGTCTTATTTTCGGGGGATGTCTTATATTACAGAAATCCCTGAAGATAGTGCTAGGTCTTATTTCCGGGGTAGGTCTTACTTTCGGGGAAACACGGTATACAGTATATTATGTGGTAGGAATGTGGTCTGGGCCGTCGTGTGTTGTGGTGCTGAAGATATCCCGGGCAGTGAACTCAATGCAGTCATGACCAAGGTTGAATTATTAAATTGAGTTGTGTTTTAATTGTAAATCCGGACTCCCAACACTTCTTAAATGTTTCTGAATGTTTTGTTGTGTTTTTTTAAAACAAGGTATTGTTGCATACCTCATTGGGTTCCCTTCTTGCTTACCATTGTTGCTGTCAGTAACCCAGTATAACACATAAAAGAAAGGTGAAGCTACAGATAATGTTATTTATGAAAATAGGAGATTAACACACAGGCCAGCCTGAGTGTACTTAGGAGTGGTAATAGTAGGTTATATGCTGACTGTTCAGTTTTTACATCAGTAAAATGTAGCATATAAAAGTTCATTTTTTGCTGCACCAAAATCTGCCAATTAACTTCTTCCATTAACTCATCCCACATAATTAATACCTTTTGAATCACTTGCCCCTCCTACTAGATTGTAAGATCTTACAAGCAGGGTCCTCCCAACACTCCTGTATTGAAATTGTATTGTAACTGTAGTCTCCCTTTATTTTGTAAAAGCTCTGTGCAAACTGTTTGCGTTGTATAATAATAATTTTAAAATAATAATTGCTACATTGTATCACAGGCTTTGCACTAATCCTGCCTGTTGAACCTCTAATTTTGAAACCCACATCGGTTAACCGAGAAATTATTATCGCCGGCCTATAAACTGTGGGGGAAAGAAACTATAAAATAATCCTTGCAACAGATGTAGTAAACATATTTTAAAAACTGTTGAAGCTTAATTTTTTTTCTCTTTCTCCTTGTTCCTTGTTCTTGGTAAAAAAAAATATGATGCTATACAGCAGCCGTCACTACCATCTGAGTTGCGATTCTGTCTGTACCGTGATCGCTGAGCTGCACTGGGTTATGGCTGCCTGAGAGTGAATACACCGGCCTTTGAGGCTGGTCCATCCACTGCCAGCCATAAGCCAGAAAAAGTCCCCTCCTTGCTTCAGTCATTGGTTGCTAGGACTGTTGGCACCCAGCAACCCTTTATGTGGTTGCTTTGGAAGGAGGGAAAAGGAATACAAAAAAGTGTAACTTGAGTGACAGCTCTGAGTCTGCTGGGGATGCTGACGTTATATCCAAGATGGCAGCATTCAGTAGACATCCCAGGGATTTTAAATAATTTCAAAAGAGAGGCTATTGCAAGTAAATACTATGCATGGCATATGTTAAATGTACACATAATCTTATGGGAAAATTGCTGTTGAAATTAATGGTCTGGAGACTGTCTCTTCAAGAATATATTCACAAGGAAAAAAAAGTTGCCATGAATTCCCTTATTACAGAGACTGTATAATATTTAATGTATTATTTGAAATTTCCAGCTCATTACTGCAGCACTCCTGAGTCTCCTCCACAAGGATTCATTGTGAGTCAGACAGGTGGGCAGCTGAACAGCATGGTCCGCTGGGCTTGTGACCGAGGTTTTAGGCTCATTGGAAAAAGCACTGCTGCCTGTAAAAAAGCTCCTTATGGATATTACGCCTGGGATGCTCCTGTGCCGGCATGTCAAGGTAAAGAGATACAAAGATGTTACTTATGGCTCATTATCATCCTGTCCATCATTTAGTCTAATCTCTCTGATATAAAAGGTGTACCACTAAACCATGAGCTGTGCAGTGTATATGCCCATCTGTATGTACTGTATGTATATGTATGTGTGTGTGTGTGTGTGTGTGTGTGTGTGTGTGTGTGTGTGTGCGCATATGTGTGTAATATCTATCTATCTATCTATCTATCTATCTCTATATCTGTCTATCTGTCTATCCCATTCTCGTATGTTTCCCTGTATCTATTTAATACACAATGTATAGCTCAGAACCATGCATTACATATAAGAGACAGATCTATGTGGTAATAGTAGGTTATATGCTGACTGTTCAGTTTTTACATCAGTAAAATGTAGCATATAAAAGTTCATTTTTTGCTGCACCAAAATCTGCCAATTAACTTCTTCCATTAACTCATCCCACATAATTAATACCTTTTGAATCACTTGCCCCTCCTACTAGATTGTAAGATCTTACAAGCAGGGTCCTCCCAACACTCCTGTATTGAAATTGTATTGTAACTGTAGTCTCCCTTTATTTTGTAAAAGCTCTGTGCAAACTGTTTGCGTTGTATAATAATAATTTTAAAATAATAATTGCTACATTGTATCACAGGCTTTGCACTAATCCTGCCTGTTGAACCTCTAATTTTGAAACCCACATCGGTTAACCGAGAAATTATTATCGCCGGCCTATAAACTGTGGGGGAAAGAAACTATAAAATAATCCTTGCAACAGATGTAGTAAACATATTTTAAAAACTGTTGAAGCTTAATTTTTTTTCTCTTTCTCCTTGTTCCTTGTTCTTGGTAAAAAAAAATATGATGCTATACAGCAGCCGTCACTACCATCTGAGTTGCGATTCTGTCTGTACCGTGATCGCTGAGCTGCACTGGGTTATGGCTGCCTGAGAGTGAATACACCGGCCTTTGAGGCTGGTCCATCCACTGCCAGCCATAAGCCAGAAAAAGTCCCCTCCTTGCTTCAGTCATTGGTTGCTAGGACTGTTGGCACCCAGCAACCCTTTATGTGGTTGCTTTGGAAGGAGGGAAAAGGAATACAAAAAAGTGTAACTTGAGTGACAGCTCTGAGTCTGCTGGGGATGCTGACGTTATATCCAAGATGGCAGCATTCAGTAGACATCCCAGGGATTTTAAATAATTTCAAAAGAGAGGCTATTGCAAGTAAATACTATGCATGGCATATGTTAAATGTACACATAATCTTATGGGAAAATTGCTGTTGAAATTAATGGTCTGGAGACTGTCTCTTCAAGAATATATTCACAAGGAAAAAAAAGTTGCCATGAATTCCCTTATTACAGAGACTGTATAATATTTAATGTATTATTTGAAATTTCCAGCTCATTACTGCAGCACTCCTGAGTCTCCTCCACAAGGATTCATTGTGAGTCAGACAGGTGGGCAGCTGAACAGCATGGTCCGCTGGGCTTGTGACCGAGGTTTTAGGCTCATTGGAAAAAGACCTGCTGCCTGTAAAACAGATCCTTATGG